GTAAGTCGGTTCTGACCTAAGTCAAATGCTTTTTTTAGTCTTCATTATTATTGCATTTTATTATCTTTATAAATCTGATCTTCATCTGTTTGGGTGTTGGAAACATTACATATAAACATCTGTGAGTAAACATCTGAGAATGATAACATCAGCAAATTATGCCCTGCAACACTGTATGTACTACATATTACTAAGATGTACGCAAAAAAAAACAAGAAAACAAGACAGTTGTAAGTGAGGTTCATCGTAACTTGAATATGTTGTAAGTCAAGCACTACCTGTACTTTTTAATAAATGAATGCCTCATGGCTCTGGACTGCCAAACACTATTTACTCTTCAAAATCTAAATTAGAACTCCCCAATCCCCTCCTCACACCTTACCAATTTCCTACTATGAGTTATTCATTATGACAGTCATTCATTACTGTCAAATCTGCTGCAAATATTCTTCTTCATCTGTATTTCTCCTTTAAAAAAAATCACATTTTATTTTATAAAATCTATCCACCTTTAGATTTTCTCCTGAGTTTTGAGATACATTTTTAATTTTCCAGTATTTTGTTTTGCAGGCTTTATTTTCAACTCTGAAATTCACTGTGACATATGGTGTGATGTAAAGGCTAGTTTAATTTCCCCCTAAAGTTTCTATTTCAAAGAACAATTTTCCACACTATCCCTCCACGTCATATTAAATTCTCATATACAATAAGAAGGCTGTTTTTGTGGCTATTATTTATTAATCTGTCTATTCTTATGCCACCATTACATACTTGATTGCTGTTTTAATAATATGCCTATTATGTTTTAATTTTTGAAGGAGAGTTCTGCTTTATTCTTATTTATTAGCACTTTCTTTCATATTCTTTTATACTTTTATGAAGAAAAAATCTATCTGAATGTGGACTGATACTGCACTAAAACCCTATTATTATGAGTACTTTTAAGAATATTTCTATTTGGTTTTGGGTTGTTACTGCATTACAACTATGAAATAACCAAGACTGGCATTTTTGTAATATTTATTGCCCCACACAGAAATTTTATATATATTCTCTTAATTATTAAGAACTTTTAAAATGCATTTAGATATTGCGGTGTAATGGATTGCTTTTTGTGTGGTCTTTCTAACCATGGTCTTGTAACCACCACCCAGGTGATTGGGCGGGACTGTGTAATAGGGTAATTGTGGCCCACCAAGGGGACTGGTCAGTTTTACCATCCTGCTGGGCTTGAAACGAGGCACCCAGAAGCGGGAAAGAGAAGAATCCACCACCACCAAGGAAGGAGAGACCAGCAGGAGAGACCCTTGGGAGACAGTGCAGTGGGCTTCCCAGCCCACAGAGCAAGAAAGCTGTGTGCCTCTGGGCAGAAACTGGGGGCAGGGAGCCTATGCCTGGCCCACTATTTTGGGAGTTGCCAGCCTCCACAACCACATGAGCCATTTCTTTTATATGGTTCATGAGTTCTGTAAGACATTGCAGCAAATCAGGACACTCAAAGACAGGAGGGAGAGTACTGAGGGGAAAGGGAGTAGTCGATGTCACAGATGATGGAGTCGTTCAGCAATGGGAAAAGTTGGACATTTGGGACATCTTTAACCTCTGCCTCAAAGGAACCAGCTTTGTGCTGATCCTTATAAAAGAAATTAGTCTAATCATTGAGATAATTCCTATCTGCTTAATGTTTATTGTTGCAATTACTGAGAAGGATTTCTAATAATCTAATTGGTTTAAAGCATTATAAGAGAATGGTATCAATCTTTCACTAAAACTTTTTATCAAAATTCTGAAGCAAGAGAGGGAAGCAGTAGATGGAAGGAGGGTGGAGCGCTGGGTTTTTTTGTTTTTGTTTTTTTCCGCCAAATGGAGAGATTGGAACATGTTTAAATAATAAAGGAAAAAAACAGTGGGGAGAGAGGAGAGGAAAGGAGAT